AGCTACTAAGGAGGCTGAGGCAGGAGAATCCTTTGAACCTGGGAGGTAGAGGTTGCAGTGAGCCAAGATCACGCCACTGCACTCCAGCCTGGGTGACAGAGTAAGACTCTGTCTCAAAGAAAAAAAAAAATTTGATCAGCTTTCTACTATAAGTGCAAACACTGAGCTGTAACCCACTCAATTCAAATGATGAAGCTGGGATCCTACTGCTGATGTAATCAAAATAACTGAGGGCCAGGTTCAGGCTTGTGCCTGTAACCCCAATACTTGAGAAGCTTAGGTGGGAAATCACTTAAGACCAAGAGTTCAAGACCAGTCTAGTGAACACAGTGAGATTTCCATCTCCACAAAAATTAAAAAATTAGCTGGGTGTGGTGCCTGAAGTCCTAGCTACTGGGGAGGCTGAGGCGAGAAGGTGAGAGGATTGCCTGAGCCCAGCAGGTCAGCGTTACAGTGAGCTACGATCGCACCACTGCATTCTAGCTTGGCGACAGAGTGAGACCTTGTTTCAAAAAAATACATAAAAATTTAAAAGCTACTAAAAGCTCATTTAAAAAACAAGTATTCTGAAAGAAATACGGACCATTGTCCGAAGAATCTATAACCTGTAGGTAACTTTCACTCTAACATAAACGGTATCCTAAAAATGCAAATGACTTAGAGAAGTCTGTATTTAGCTATGTGTATTTAGCAATCTTACCTTTTACTTTGTAGTCATGGAGAGAAAAGAAAATGATCACTTGATAAAAAGCTATCTATTTAGTATTATAAGGATCTAAGCTGCTCCAAAGACTATGAATTTACATGAAAATTGGAGTTTTTGAACTTCTTTATTTTACTTTTTAAACATTTAATTTGTTAATTTAAAAAAAATGGAGAAAAAAATTTCACCAGGTCACTTAGGCTAGTCTCAATCTCCTGGCCTCAAGTGACCCACCTGCCTTAGCTTCCCAAAGTGCTGGGATTACAGGCATGAGTCACTGTGCCTGCGGTTTTCAATACTTCTATAAAGAAATTACATCTAAGAATTTGGCCCAGTTACGCCTGCCGCCCTTCCCTGACCAAGATTCCCTTTCCAAAAGGCATTCTATTTCTTGGAGTAACATAGGCTAACCATATTAGATAGAAGCAGAATTAAACTATGACACAAAAGCTCAGTAAAGACTCCAAAGAAAAATGTATAGGAAGAAAATATATTTGCTGACAGCTAAATGATGACTCTTGGAAACTCATACCCACGGGCTTTCTTCTACTAGGTTGTCTGCCAAGACTTGGGTCTGGAGGCTGAAGTGAAGATCCTTTCAGAAATGCATTCTGGATGCCATCCTTAGTTCCATGCAAGAAATGCGCTAAAATCCCATACAAAAGAGGTCTACATGCAGGAAGAAAATAAAACCAAAAGCTCGTAAATTTGCATAAACAGGAAAACCTTAAAACATTTATTCCTTAAAAGGCAACCTGTGACACCAAAATGACCAAGTGATTCATCAGACTTTGAAAAGCTGCATGATTATTATCCAAACTGCAAATGATTTGTACTTTTGAAAACTATCATTTAATTTAATGACAATTTTAAACCCCAGAGAAAACATGTTAACAACTTATACCGCATCTACATTGAGATATCACTGCTATCAATCCACAGGAATTTATCTTTTAAACTCCAAAGTCCAGTATAATATTTCCCAATACCTAATACACAACCCTGTCTAATACACAACAGGTATTCAATAAACACCTCTTGATTAATAAATCTTTGCCCTGAGAAAGTCTTAGGTCCTGAGAGCCAGGTGGCCTGGGTTCAAATCTTGGCTTTGCCATTTGCTAGCTGTGGGACTCTGTATAAGAACCTGCCCAGCCTCATGTTTCTTCCTTTACAAATTAGGATAAGCACCATCCCTCCCTTACAGGGCTGTCATACACTGTATGAATTAATAAGTGTCAAGTGTTTTTTTTTTAACTGCGCCGGGCACATATAATATGGTATACAAATGTTAGCTCCTATGTAGCTAACATTTATTTATATTAATATTTATGTGACTTAGTATTTTAAAACCTTCTTTATAGTTTATGGAACACTTAACTCTTTTCCTCTGATCCTCACTGTGTAATGTCAAAACCATCAACTGTAATTTATAAAAAACCACAGCCAGGAGATTTGCTAGAGATTCCCTCAGACAGTAAACAAAGTTTACACTTGAACCCCAAATCCCATATTCATTTCCTCACAATGTGCTGCCTGGGGATTCATACCAGTACTCTTGCATAATGGAAAGCTGCTCTGCTGACAATAAAGAGTGGTACAATGGAAATGTTTTCCCTTGTTTCCAGTCTCATATTTGAAAATACAATTAAAAGGATTTGTTTTAATTTTTAATTTTTGTGGGTACATAGTAGGTGCATGTATTTGTGAGGAAGATTTATTTTTTGAGATAAGTATCTATTTATTAGCTAGTATAATGGTTTAAAGTGCGACACTCCCTTCCAAAGATGGAATCTCATTGCCCTCCCTTTGAATGTGAGCTGAACTCACTTCTAACTGGCAGAAGGCTGACCTCAGAGGCTGCGTGGTAATGGCACTATGGTTTCCTCCTTGGTTTCTCTTGGATTGCTGCCTTTGGGAGAAGTGAGATGCCTCAGGACACTTCAGTAGCCCTGGAAAGGTACATGTGGCAAGCAACTGAGGCCGCCTGTCAATATCCTTATGAGTTTGGAAGCAGATAGTTCAGCCGCATTCAAGGGTTCGGGCTTCAGACTACAACCCTGGCTGGCATCTTGACTACAACCTCACGGGGGACCCTGAGGTAGACTCACGTGACTAAGCCAATCCCAAATCCCTAAATATCCCACAAATAACCTACGTTGTTGTTCTAAGCCACCAACTTCTGGAATAATATCATGCCAATTTTTCCATGCCACAAGGAAATCAGGAAAGTCAGTCTCTTTATTTAACAAGATGCTTCAACTCTTATGAAAGCATCACCTAGTAACATAAAACAGGTCTCTTTGTTTACTTTACACTAACCTTCCCCAAAGTGTTCATTGGTTCAAGATGATTTTTAGATGTTAAAAATTTTATTTTTCAAATTAATATTCAATACAATTTACTTGTGATAAAAATTTTGGGTTAGACATGGAGGCTCAAGCCTGTATAATCCCAGCAGTTTGGGGGTACTGAAGTGGGAGAACCGCTTGGGACCAGGAGTTTGAGACAGCCTGGACAACACAAGGAGTCCCCCAGCCCTACAACAGTTTTTTAAAAAATTAGCCACACAAGGTAATAAGCACCTGTGGTCTCAGCTACTTGGGAAGCTGAGGTGGGAGGACAGCTTGAGCCCAGGAGGGAAAGGCAACTTGCGAATTCATGGATTAAGGCTTATTTTTTAAAAATAAGTTCAAAAAAGATAATTTAAAGAAAAGGGCAGCCTCATAATACCTTGCCTGTAATTCTGAAATGCAAAATTCTGAAAACTGGATTCTCTTCCTATATCTGGCAAAAAATCATCAGATGATATGGCTTGACCTAACAAGACTATTACAGACTTTATCTTACTTTATCTGAAAATATTAATGTGCCAAGCACAATGGCTCACGCCTGTAATCCCAGCACTTTGGGAGGCCGAGGTGGGCAGATTACCGAAGGTTGGGAGTTCGAGATCAGTCTGACCATCAAGGAGAAACCCAGTCTCTACTAAAAATACGTAACTAGCCGGGCATAGGGGCACACGCCTGTAATCCCAGCTACTAGGAAGGCTGAGGCAGGAGAATCGCTTGAACCCGGAAGGCAGAGGTTGCAGTGAGCCAAGATCGTGCCATTGCATTCCAGCCTGGGCAACAAGAGCAAACCTCTGTCTCAAAAAAACAAAAAAGAAAAAATTAATCTGATTGTGGAACACTGCCTTACGACTCCCTGGCACCCTGGCACATATATGTATTATTTGATATAGGTACCATATTACTTTCTTTTTTTTAAGAATTGAAGTCTCGGCCAAGCACGGTGAATCCCAGCACTTTGGGAGGCCGAGGCAGGCGGATCACGAGGTCAGGAGATTGAGAGCATCCTGGCTAACACACTGAAACCCCGTCTCTACTAAAAATACAAAAATTTCAGCTGTAGGAGTGAAAAACACAAAACAAAAACTAGCTGGGTGTGGTGGCACATGCCTGTAGTCCCAGCTACTCAGGAAGCTGAGGCAGGAGAATTGCTTGAACCCAGGAGGCGGAAATTGTAGCGAGTTGAGATTGTGCCATTGCATCCTAGCCTGGGCATGGAGCAAGACTCCGTCGCAAAAAAAAAAAAAAAAAGCAATTGAAGTGTCGCTGTCAGGCTGGTGTACAGCAGCAAGATCATGGCTCACTGCAGCCTCAAACTACTGGATTTAAGCAATCTTCTTGCCTCATCTACCTAACTAGCTAGGACTGCAGGAATGTCATTACACCTAACTAACCATACTACTTTTTAAAACCTGAAAACTTTTGAATTTTCAAAACATATATCTGGCTTCAATAGTTTTAGACGCAGCACTGTAAATGTGCAAGTAAAAAGTATAAAGCCAGGTGTGGTGGCTCACACCTGTAATCCCAGCACTTTGGGAGGCCAAGGTGGGTAGATCATGAAGTCAAGAGATTGAGACCATCCTGGCCAACATGGTGAAATTCTGTCTCTACTAAAAATAAAAAAATCAGCTGGGTGTGCCTGTAGTCCCAGCTACTTGGGAAGCTGAGGCAGGAGAATCACTTGAACCTGGGAGGCGGAGGTTGCAGTAAGCCAAGATCATGCCACTGCACTCCAGCCTGGTGACACAGCAAGACTCTGCCTCAAAAAAAAAAAAAGAATAGAAAAATGAGTAATATGTGATTATGGCAAACTTTGTGAATGCAAATCACTGAAGCATGAAAAACCAGGGCTTAAAGAAGTTATCTAACTTTTAAAAAATAAAGCGGTTTCAGCAACTGTTTTTTACTTCCTCATCCTCTCTCAAACTTACTTCTCTTTTAAAAAAAATATGAAACGTTTCACAAATGTGCATGTCATCCCTTTGCTGGGGCCATGCTAATCTTCTCTGTATTGCTCCAGTTTTAGTCTATGGGCTGCCAAAGTGAGCAAAAACTTAATACTTTCATCTAAAGTAAGTTCTCAAAAGCTACCAAGAAGCCAACAGGAGTAAAATCATTGCTTATTTCCATCAATTGCTAAATGTAAAATATCCTGTACTAAACGATGCAATACCTCACTGCTCATACTGAGTCACACTTAGATTCACCAAATTATTTTTCTCACTGTTCTCAATTGTACAGTTTTTATACTTTCCAAAACTGGAATTGCAGTGACTCACGCCTGCAATCCCAGCACTTTGAGAGGCTGAAGCAGGTGGATGGCTTGAGCCCAGGAATTGGAGACCAGCCTGGCTAACATGGTAAAACACCAACTCTACAAAAAATACAAAAATTAGTCAGGCATGATGCCACATGCCTATAATTCTAGCTACATGGGAGACTGAGACGGGAGGATCACTTGAACCCAGAAGTTCGAGGCTGCAGTAAGCCATGATGAAGCCAATGTACTCTAGAGCCTGGGCACCAGAGTGAAACCCTGCCTTGAAAAACAAAACACAACAAAAACACAGCACTTAGGGAGGAGGAGGGGGGCAGATCACTTGAGGTTGGAGTTTGAGACCAGCCTGGCCAACAAGGCGAAACGCCATCTCTACTAAAAAAATATGAAAAAAAATTAGCGGAGTTTGGTGGTGGGCACCTGTAATCCCAGCTACTTGGGAGACTGCGGCAGGAGAACTGCTTGAACCCGGGAGTCAGAAGTTGCAGTGAGCTGAGATGGGGCCACTGCACGCAGCCTGGGTGACAGAGTGAGACCCTATCTCAAAACAAACAAACAAAAAACCAAACCACACACACAGGAAGATGAGGGGAAGAGAAAGGAAAATGTCATAAAGGAGACAATATCTGAACAGGGCCAATAGAAAGGAAAGATGCTCCGATAGGAGGCGTTAAGAGGGAAAAAGTGATCTGGGGATTCTAGGCTAAGGGATTGGTTTACCAAGGCAAAGAAGCATAAAGCTGCCAAGTGTTTGCAGGGCACAATCAGAAATCAGGTGTGAGCAGATACAACAAGAGACAGGGGTAGAAACAGACCTATGACTCCGAAGTTACATTTTTTCAAGGAAAATACATTTTTATTTTTCTTTCTTCTTTTTTTAGGCTAGAGTACAGTGGCACCATTATGGCTCACTGCAACCTCCGTCTCCTGGGTTCAAGCGATTCTCCCGCCTCAGCCTCCTGAGTAGCTGGGATTACAGGTGCCCACCACCATGCCCAGCTAATTTTTGTAGTTTTAGTAGAGATGGAGTTTCACCATCTTGATTAGGATAGTCTCGAGCTCTTGAACCCGTGATCCGCCCACCTCAGCCTCCCAAAGTGCTGGGATTGCAGGCATGAGCCACCACGCCCGGCGAAAACATATTTTTCGTTACATTCAAGTGAGTCTTGAAATTAGCTGTTTTGTAAGTGTGTTACTGAGAATTGATATCTTATAGGTGCTGACTGTAAAAAAAATTCAGTTGAACATTCAGATTCAGGTTCACTATTTGCTCTCTGATGCTGCTTAATAGTAAAGTATATTCTAAATTCTAAAAAAAGGAAAAAAAGAAAGATAGAAGCCTAAAGTGCCATGCTAAGCAACTGGGACTTCATTTTACACACTATGACAAAGATGATATATGATCCTGGAACATTAATTTTACACAAGGATTTGTGGGAGAGTTAAATTGAACTGGAATGTCACTGAAAACATTTGTATGGTAAAACAAATAACTTTAAAAACTTTTTTTTCTTGAGACAGGGTCTGGTTCTGTCACCCAGGCTGGAATGCAGTGTGCGATCTTGGCTCACTGCAACCTCCGCTGCCCAGGTTCGAGCAATTCTCGTGCCTCAGCCTCCCTAGTACCTGAGGCTACAGGCACACGCCAGGGTGCCTGGCTAGTTTTTTTGTATTTTTACTAGAGACAAGGTTTAGCTGTGTTGGCCATGCTGGCCTTGAACTCCTAACCACAGGTGATTTGCCTGCCTAGGCCTCTCAAAGTGCTGGGATTACAGGCGTGAGCCATTGTGCCTGACTAGACATGGGGTTTCACCATGTTGCCCAGGCTGGTCTTGAACTCCTGAGCTCAAGTGATCCACCCACTTCAGCCTTCCGAAGTACTGACATTACAAGATGAGACACATCACCTGGCCTTAAGAACTTTTAGGATGAGAAAACAACGTTTCAAAGAAATTTCTAACTAAAAAATGACTGCTTTAAGCTATGTTCTCAGGCGTCCTATTTATTTTTCTTTGGCTATCCAGGGATCCCCTGGAAAAAGCTTAAAAAATACTCAAATAGAAAAAAAAAAAAAAAAAAAAAACTAAGAAAACTAGAAAGTGGTCATCCTCCTTTACAAGAGCATATTTCATCTGTATTTACGATCGCTGCTCATCACTTGCATCACTGCCTGAGCTCTACCTCTCGACAGCAGCACTAGATTCTCAGAGGACCGGGAACCCTACTGTGAACTGTGCATGCCAGGGATCTGGGTTGGGGCTCCTTATGAGAATCTAATGCCTGATGATCTCTCATGGTCGCCCACCATAGTTAGTAAGAGGAGGTGATGGAGGGCAACGGAGGGAGTAATTGTAACGAAAGCAGAGGGCTGATTCAGGAATCTTGGCAGAAAAAGGAATTCAAGCAAAGCTTGGGATTGGGTGTTCAAAGGTTTTTGTGTTTTTTTTTTAAGAAAGGAAATAACTGAGTACATTCCTAAGTTGAAGTGGAGGAAGAGTTAAATACGAAGAAAACAACTGACAAAGCAAAGCGTCAGAGGCCAGGCACAGGCGACTCATGCCTGCAACCCTAGCACTTTGGGAGGCCAATGCAAGAAGATCACTTGAGGTCAGGAGTTCAAGACCAGCCTGGGCAACAAAGTGAGGCTTCCTCTCTACAAAAATAATTTTAAAATACAAATAAAAGTTAAACATTCACTTGGTATATTTTCAGAGTTTTGGGAAAAGAAAAAGTTAAAATTATAAATTAAGGGAAAAAAAAAAAAAAGAACAGAACAAAGCCTTAGAAGGAGCAAGCCTCAAGAAGTCAAAAGGAACTAACCCCAGAAAGAAGTAGAGACGCTTAGTCACTCTGAGGCCACAGGATGGAGAAAGAAGTAGAGATGCTTAGTCACTCTGAGGCCAAAGGAATTTTAGCTTCGGCAAACACAGACCTCATCTGACTTGTTCACTGCTGCACATCCTGGATTTAATACAATGCTCAACACACACTAGTCTGAATAAATACTTGCTGAATTAAAAAGAAGCAAAACCACCATGCACAATTATGACTAATACAGTATTTGGAAACTTCTTTAAAAAAAATTCTTACATTGTATTATCCTTTGATTCTTCAAATGCATTTAGTTCATGGATGAGAAACTGTCTGTCCAATGGAACTACAGGTTGACCAGATTCTGGGAGAAAGAAATTTATGAGAACATTGAGTCTATTAAACTAAAAAGCAAATAGGATTTTGGTAAGATTCACATTTACCAAATATACATTTTTCATACTTTGGAAGAACAATGATAACACATGCCAAGACAGATTCAACTGCATGTGATTTTATGACTTTCAAAATATCTCTTTTGTTAAATGCATGTCCTAATACAGTTTAACATAAATTTGCTTTTTAAATTCCCCAGTGTTTGGTTGGAAAAATACTGTTTCTATATCCAAATGACAATACTAAATTTTAGAAGTCTTCTTACCAAAAACTTATTTTTGAAAAGAATATCCATTTAGTGATTTTCTTTCTCCGCTGTGAGCTTCCAATATGACAAAGAAAAGAAGGAACCACAGTCGTGCCAAAAAGGGCTGCAGCCATGTTCAGCCTATTTGCTACATGAACTGTGCCCGATGCACGCATGGTGGTGCATGTCTGTAATCCCAGCTACTCAGGAGGCTGAGTCAGGAGAATTGCCTGAACCCAGGAGGCGGAGGTTGCAGTGAGCTGAGATCGCGCCATTGCACTCCAGCCTGGGTAACAAGAGTGAAACTCCGTCTTAAAAAACTTTTAAGAAATTTGTCACTCCAAACATAGTGGAGGCTGAAGCAGTCAGGGCTATTTCTGAAGTGATGTCTTTGATGCCTATGTACTTCCCAAGCTCTATGTGAAGCTACATTACTGTGTGAGTTGTGCAATTCACAGAAAAGTAGTCAGGAATCGATCTCGAGAAGCCTGCAAGGACCAAACACCTCCACCCCGATTTAGACCTGGGGGTGCTGTCCTACAACCCCCACCAAAACTCATGTAAGGAGCTGAGTAAAAGATTGAAGACAACTATTCTCTGGAGAAAAATAACATAGAAATTGTACTTGATATTGCTTATTAAGTGTATCTGTGCCAGATAGGGTGGGGCTTTTGTGTGTGTTTGACCAAGTGTGAAGTGACAAGTAGTATTTTCATGGGGAAGAAAGCTTATTTACGTAATCAGTTTTTTTTGTTGGGGGGAGGGGTAGGAAGAGATGGAGTCTTGCTCTGTTGCCCCCGCTGCAGTGCAATGGTGCTATCTGAGCTCACTGCAACCTCTGCCTCCTGGGTTCAAGTGATTCTCCTGCCTTGGCTTTTCAAGTAGCTAGGATTACAGACGTGTGCTACCATACCCAGCTAAATTTTTGTATTCTCAGTAGAGATGGGGTTTTATTATATTGGCCAGGCTGGTCTGGAACTCCTGACCTCAGATAATTTATCCCTTAGGACTCCCAAAGTGCTGGGATTACAGGCGTGAGCTATTCATTTAAATTAAACCTTGTTTACAGTCATTTCCTTGCCCTCACAACTTGCATAGCTGTGTGAAATAAAAAGGAGTTTAGGCAAAAAAAAAAAAAAAAAAAAGATATCCATTTAGTGATAATAATTAAATTAACCTGTAAGTGTGGGGAAACTGGAACTTTCACACTTTGCTGGTGGGAAAGCACAATGATGCAGCCACTTTGGAAAACAGTTGAGCAGTTTTCTTATAAAGGTGAGCGTGTGTGCGCTTAACCACACAACCCAGCAATCCCACT